CTATTGTTTCAAAATGTGGCCTGACTTTAAGTCCATTCTTGTTGGTGAGAAGTGACTATTAAATATTCTTATTACAGAATTCCAGCAGATAACAACTGGGAACCTCTCAGTTGGAAATGCTTGCCATTTCCTCTTGTTTATTACGGTTTTACAGAATACACAACAGATTTTTTGTTCAATTTCCAGCCTTGTTTAAATGCTCTCATTATATAAGTCCTTTTGATCTTTTCTAAAACCAGCAACTCTTCTAATAGGCATATATTACTAGCATAGTGTAGCATCAGGCTGCATAAGAATTTTATTACTACTTAGATCCTAAATATCATCTATTGTTCAACAGCAGTGGCCTGTCTAGTATAAAACTATTCTAGGAAAATCATCATGTTCAAAATATCAAATTATAATTGTCATCATCATCAATTAGTATTTACTAAGTACACACATGTACATGGAGATGTTAGCTAATGCTGAACATAAAAGTTTGCATTCTGAGCTTAAATCTAGAATAGAAAGTCCTATTGTGCACACATTCAAGCACCAAAACAGTCTGACAGTGGTATAAGGATTCTTACTTTATTAAAATATAAAGACTCTGTTTATTGTTTCAAATAGTGATATGTTTGCATAGACTGTGGCTCTTTTGAGAGAAAATATATAGTCATTGTGTTGGTTCAGATCTTTCTACAGTGGCAAGCACAGATTTCAGAATAGTTAAACTGCAGGTTCTTGCTCCCTAGTAACATTTGTGGTAAACTATTTGATATTTAACAAATTCTAACATAATATCATAAAGTTTTTTCTAATTCCTTCTTATGGTTGGTTTTGCTTAACTACGAGTTATAGGGGCAAGAGTCATTGATCGATGACTATTATCTTGAGGGTCTAGCGAGGTGATTAGGGCTTGGATGTTATGAGTTCTCAATAAGCAGTTATTGAAATCTAAACAAAGATAGATTTTAAACAAGCAAAAATTTTGAAATCCCTCTAACAAAGGTTCAACTCAATTTTGAAGAATCCAAACAACATTATTACTATGAAATCACCACCATTATTATCCCTATTTTATAGATAGTGAAATGGAGGCTAAAGAAAGATAATTTTTGCAAGTCGCAGACATAGTAAATTGCAGATGCAGAACTGTAATTAGTGTCCATCTGTTTTCAAGACTAAGCTCTTGGTTGTTCTTATATCTCTCTAAGCTGTAAGAACTTCCCTTCTAGAGAAGGAAAGTGGCCAGTTGTTTGAAAAATATAGTTTTTTATTTTGAGAGGGGGACATGTGAATTTATAATGTGATTCTAATCATTAATATTTTTTCAGTTCAAAAAAGTTTTCTGAGCACATGCTAACTGATTAGGGAAAAAGGCCTACGGATATTTTAAGTAACATAGGGATTAAATATAGCTATACAAAATTCACAAATTGGTCTGTAAAGAAGAAAATGGAATTTACTGTATTTATTAAAAAGATCTTAGAAACCTTATTTAATCACTTTAAGTGAAAAAAAATTCTGTCGATATGCACACTTAAGACTAGTACAGAAAGAAACTGGAAAATGAAAGAGGCCTCTTTGGTGTCTGATATGAGCGAGCGTGAGTTCGATGATGTCTTAATGTACACACACACACGACCCCTCTCGGTAGATGTTCTTAATTTTTCTGAAGTTGACAGGTAAATAAAAGTCAATTATCACGAATCTTCCTACTTTGAATATTGGTCAAAGGCATCTTTCTCTGGACCCTTAAAAGTTTCTATCCTGACACAATCAATTAGTGAATTAAGAAAACATCCTGAAAAACTCAGGTCCAAATTTGGAGATGGAAGATGTGTTTCAGGAGAGGAAAGGGCTTTTTTTACTTTAATTATTTTAGCCTATTTATTCTTTTTGATCAAATGAACTGAATTCAGCCGGCCAATTGCCTACTTAGACTCAAACTAGAGAAATGAAACATCAATAAGTAAAATTTAACTTCCCTTTACCTAACTAGTTAACTGGAGGTCGATTTTTCTCTCAAGCTGTACTGTAATTTTAAGGCTTATGAGTCTTCTTCTTCAGGAAAAAAACAATTCTGTAAACAGTGAATTATTTTTAGTGCCTGTCTTCCTGTTCCTTTATCCTTTAGTTAGTGTCTTTACCAACACAAGCCTCTTCCACCCTTTGGGAGTGTAAAGCCAGACTTATTTTTCCAGGAAGTTTTCCTAATGTGCATTTAACTGTTCTCCATCTTGCTAGAACATTCTTCAAAGCCCCAGTTCCTGAAGACACACTTGGTACTTATGGGCTGGTCCTGACTGTGGACATTGTCCACCCAGGAATGACTGCAGTTTATCCTCGATCACTGACACTGCTCACTGTGATCTCTTTCCCTTTGGAAAACACGCCAGGGTGGAGTGTGGAATGGCAGCAGTCACTGAGAGTAGGAGTGATGCTACTGAGGCCTGGGGGTGGGAAAGCATCATCAACTCTTCTACAATAGCTGTTATCTCAAACAGTGCCTTATCCTTCTCTGTCAGGCTCTGTTCTGCCTTGTGTCACTTGAGACAGTGCCAAATCCTACAATGATTACATGTATTCTGTAAGCAAAAATGTTCCTTGTGGCCTGAGCCCTCTGAGCCCTTTCCCTCCAGTCATGTTGGGCCTCTCTTCTTGTCTCTCCATTCCCACCACTGTTCCTGTCCTACAGCCCCCGCCCTGCCACAGTCCTTACAGCCACTTCTGGTACCCAGTGTCTTCCTTCAATCCTTATCGTGCTGGGTTTCCCTGAGACATTTCACCCTGTGACCACACATGCCGCCTTTTTGAAGCTTTCCTCTCTTTCTTTGGCTTCCCTTGGCTTAACAGTACCCCCTCCTGATTCTCCATCTTCATGTCACACTTTTTCATGTTATTTGCCTTTTTTCACCCCTTAATTGTTGCTGTTCCCCAGTTTTCTATTATTAGGCATTTTCTCTTTTCATTCAGAGTGGTCTCACCAAGTAATCTCATCACTGCCCAAGACTTGTTACAGCTTTAATGTGGATGACTTTTAAATGGCTCTCTTAAACTCTAGGCGCATATATCTAACTGCCTATTACATAAATTCGTAGGCTTTTGTGAACTGACCTGTCCATCTTCCTACCATTTCCACTGTCAGAGAGTTTAAGTAAGTAATTATAAATTATACAAATATAAAAATTAAATTAGCAATTTATTTTCTTATTTATTGACATATTGGCTTATTTTCTAAACCACTTTAGATTTCTTCTATAATGCTGTTTCTTAATGTAGGGTCCAGAGATGTCATAAGAAATAAGAAAAACTGTAGCATATGTAGACACTGCAAAATTCTCTCTCTCCCAATAGTTACACATAGTGCAAAGGATTTCTGCCAGTGTGACATTTCACCTAATGAAAGGTTGTTCCAAACCACGTAAACCAATGTCTTTGTAGAGAAGAAACTGGTCAAAATCATAGTACTGGGATACGTGGAGGTCATGTGTTGAGTTAATGTATGTAGAAGAGACAGTGTTATGGAGAATGTCTAGAATCTGGAATATATGCAAATATTAATAAACACTTAAATCTATGAAACAATCAATATACGCAGCACATTCCTATACATTAGCTTGCATAATGTTTATAACAGTCCCATGAAGTAATGGGTCAAATGTTATCCTCATTTTACTCATTTTGAAAGAAATGTACAGCTTAGAGAAATTAAATGACTTTTCCAAGTTCACGCAACTTATAAGTAGGGTTGCTAAAAAAGGTGCCCTGTGTGGGTGTGATCCTGTGCCCGTTCCTCCTAAGGCACTTAGGCTAAGAAAGTAGCTGAATTTTTAAAGGAATATAGAATGAATATATTTCACATGAGGAAAATGTGCGATTTATTTCAGTAAATCTCCCTGTGCTTATGGACGAAATTGGCAACTAATTCTATTCCCTAACTATTTTTAATGATCTTCAACTGTTGGCATGAAATTACAGCAAGGGGTCAGGTCACAGGACTCTGGAGCATGTCATCTTTCTTAGACTGCTCCAATTACCATAAAGGCAGCGACTAACACGTGGGTCAACTGTAGTTAAATTACTGCAAACTGATCGTATCAGCAGCTAGTGGCCAGGATTTCACTTTCACCATTGTTACTGATACTAATATAGATTTTTAAGAACTTAAGAGTTTAAATCCACTTAGTTTTACTCAATCATTAATTTATTTGTATATTCAACTGAAAACATTGTTTTTTCAGAAGGAAGAGAAGTGAAGTTCTCCATAAATAAGGCATTCAAAATGAGACTTTAGTTAAACTAAATTTTGAGACTCTAATCCACAATCGTGTAAAATCTCCTACCTTATTTTAAACTTATTATTTTCATAATGCCCTTATCAATATAGCAGAAACAAAGCCTTGTCTATTAAATAATGAATACGTTTTTTCTCTTTTAAACAATCAACTCATAAAAGATCTCAGACAAACGTAAAACTACTTTGACATAGAAATTAATTTGGAATGAAAATCAGTTTTACATCTATGTATTTTGTGACCTATGTATTTTATGTAAGCTGTGTGTTCAGTTTACATAAAATAGGATTTAACTGAACGTTTCTAGTTTGTGTGGCCAATAGCTTTGCTCTTACGTCACAAAGATATTTTTATCTGTGCCACTTTTTCAAACCCTGGAATAACCTAGAACTCAGAAACATCTCTTTTTCCTTGAACGCATTGGTCTGCCATATCTCTGCTCTGTAACGATTAGTTGGTTATCAAAATTCTAATATGCTTTATAGTAGTGACACGCAATAAGCATATGGACTATTTATTACTCTGATTAAGGATACCTGATTAGAACCAAACAGTTTTTATGTTGTAATCGTAAAATTCTTAAGCATCCTGCATGTATTGTGCAGCACTAACTGATTATAAAGAGTTAATGTCGCTCTTTTTGGGCTCCAACATTTACCATAAAAATGCTTTATAGCATCTATGTAATTGTTTCTTCTTTTTGTCCCTTCTTTGTAGTTGTTTGAAATTACAGTGCCTCTCTCTCAAGGCCCCAAACCAGTAACAGTCAGTTTTGCCAATCACACTTCCTGCCGATGCATGTCTAAACTGGACGTTTACAGACAAGTTCATTCAATTATTAGACGCTCCCTGCCAGCCGCCCAGCCACAGTGAGTATGAATTAAATCTGTTTTGTTCTGCATCCTCTACCAATAGAAAATTATTTTCAAGTAAACACAGTTTATTAAAAGGATTTTTGTGAAATTTGCTATCATTTACTTTGCGTCAAATATAAAAGAAGACAAATTTAATAATGCACCATGAAAATAAAATTAAACTAAACAGGGAAGCCCGTTTTATAGACAGAGTTGTTCAGAATTAAGCTTTTCTATGGAATAACATCCCATCAGTATTCATACTATCTACATTCATACATACTACAATATTCATACATACTAATTTTGCCTAATTGATGAAACATTCCTGAAATCAGTTGTTCCAACTCACAAATGATGTTAAAGCTAAAAACATTTAAGCCTTGATAAGATTTTTGGTCCAAAACAAAAAGTAAATATAGACAAATTATTTTACATCTATTAGCATTCAGTTGCCTTTTCTCAATCTCAATTATTTTTTCTCTATATTTCTATTCATATTTTTTATTTCAGCAAGGATTGAATATTGAGATATTGATTAATTACTTGAAAGAATTTTCTCTTACTATAACTTCAAATTAACATTCAAAGTAACATTTGTTATTCAAATTTCCTTCCCATCCTGTGTTTTAGTTTGGTAAATGGCAGCATTTGCTTCATTTGATCCTATAGAAGGACCTGGATAGAGCAACAAGATGGACTCTGTGAATAGTTTATAATGAATCATTATGCATTGTCATCTGAGGTCTAGGAACTTTCTGCTGTCTGTCTCAAAATGAGGATGCAGCTCTTTGTTCTTTAGGATATCCTGTGCATATGAAGAAAACTTTCATCACGTCAACATTTCTAACAAAAGTATAGATAAATCAATGGATGAACATATATGTTACAAATTTTTTTTGGAAACCTTGCATTTTAGGGGACCCGACAATAACTATGATATGCTGGGTGGCAGTCTTCCCCATTGAACCTCTTTGTGCTGCTTTGCTTATGTGGCAGATGGAAGGCCTCATCTTTCTAGGGACACTTTAGGGAAAACGCAAGGATAGCCTAATTTGAGTGACGGAGATCTGTCCTCCTTGACAAGAGAAAGAAAAGATCTTACAGGCATCTGTGAATAAATTCCTGCTGATACAGGCAGAGACAATGCACCTGACATCGTAGATGCAAGTTCTCATCACATCTCTCAGCCCTGTCTCCCTGCACAACTCATCCATTCTAAGCCCTTCAGTCATTATCTCTGTGCTGGTGGTTTCCAAAATTACAGTTTAGGATCTGACCATATTATTGACTTAGGATGTTTTATCTAATTCTATCTTCTATTTCTGTGCTTATAATTATATTAGATATTTTGGGTACAAAATCAAAGACTTACTACATCCCTTTATTTACCCCTGCATTATTCATAGCCATGTTCTCTCATATTCTTTGAGGCCTTGAAATCACAGTTGTCATCAGTTGCTTCCTTTCCTTATATCATACCCAAACACTTGATTATTTTGGGGTGAGAATGGAGATGTCTGCTCCAACCTGAACTTCTGTTTCATTTCCATCACGGCCATCCTCATCCACTTCATTCTGCATGGATTTCTGATTTAATGCAGAGGTGTCAATACTAGTTTTCTTGTATCAAATCTTTCTCCTCCTTCTATATGATGTCACAAGCAAGCTTTAAAAGGCATCGTTTCATTCATCTGATCAGAAACTGTCAGTGACTTCCAATTGCTCAAAGAACTGAGCACACATTTCTCCCCTCCCTATTTTGATTTGCGTCCCATTATTCACCAAGTCTGTGTGTCACCACGTTTGATTCCCTGAACACCAAGCTCATTTCCTGCTCTGTATCTTGTTTCTATTCTGGCTCTGGCTTAAAATAAATTCTTTCTTTTTTCTGCCTTTCCAAAGCCCTATCCACTTCTCAGAGTTCAGCTAAAGGTCTTTCTCCTGCATTCATCTTGTCCACGTACCACGGCCACCTTTGCTTCTTGAATACCCATGGCAATGACTGTATTTCCCTGGTCCTTGCATGGATTTATAGGGCCCTGTAAATGTGGCATGTGAAACTGGACTGTGAGTATTTCTGGCAGGTTTCTATCCTCCATAATATCCATCTATGACCTTAGGAATCATTGAGCTGTTACTATGCTTTCAGCCTTTGCAAATATTGTCTCATTTAACCCTCACAAAAATCATCTGTGGTGATGGTACTAGTGTTAGCTTTATTTTACAGATGAAGCAGAATCAAGGGCATGTTTTACTCATGTTTTCATCATTATTTATTCATATAACTAGTATACTATGCATTGTTTGAGGTCAAGAAGACAAAGTTCAGGTCTGCCACCAATCTGCTTTGTAAGATTCGGTATTTCCTGTCTCAGAACCTCAGTTTCCTTATATATAAACGTAAAGATGTAAAGAGGATGTAAGGAAATACTGAATGCTTATGTGGTGTTTACCAGTGTCTGTCATCTAAGAAATAGTCATTAAAGGGCAGATGTATCATTATCATCAAGATTCATGTCTGATTCATCTCCTTGTCTCCATGTTTTTCAGTGTTTTTTACCACTATCTAAAATAAGAAATGTGGGGAGCCGGCCTGGTGGCAGAGCGGTTAAATTCGCACGTTCTGCTTCTCGGCAGCCCAGGGTTCGCTGGTTCCCATCCCGGGTGCGGACTTGGCACTGCTTGGCAAAAGCCATGCTGTGGTAGGCGTCCCACATATAAAGTAGAGGAAGATGGGCATGGATGTTAGCTCAGGGCCAGTCTTCCTCAGCAGAAAAGAGGAGGGTTGGCAGTAGTCATCTCAGGGATAATCTCCCTCAAAAAATAAAATAAATAAAATAAAAATAAATAAATAAATAAAAATGAAATAAGAAATGTCTCTTATGTTCCAAACCAGTACACATAAGTATGTGTGTGTGTGATATCCATATACATGTATATATACTATATATATAGTATATATATATAACTAGATAACTATTTATCTTTACATGTAGTTATATAATCATTTATAACTATAAAAGTAAAACAAACTATTATTTTAAAATATGTTCCTTTATTGTAGTACTACTTAAGCTTTTTTCATTATCGGCCCCCTAAAGATCCTTTCATAGATGTTTTTTCCTGGTGGCCTCCCCCATGAAATTTTAATACCACAGATCTATTTATGTACCATATATATACCTGGGCCTTATATATTACTTTTATATTCAATGTAGGATTAAAAATGACAAAATAAAATTTTTATAGTTAAAAGTTAAATAAAAAATGCAAGCACTATTAACATGAAACATAACTTTATAACTGTTTCCTGAGAAACATCTAAAGGAATTTATTTACTTATGTAATGGGTAATATATTGAATTACATATGGAAAGTAGCAATTGATGTAAATATATAGCAATGCAAATATAATAATTTTTTACATGTTCAAGATAATCATTTTTGCAGAAAAAGTAAAATAATTTTAAAATAAAATTTCTTAAAATTTTTGAGAGAATAACTTTGTTGAACTTTTGCTTCAACTGAGAAAACAATGTTTCACCTATAGAGCTCCTAGATATTCTTTTTGTGTCAACATTTTATTTATTTATTTATTTATTTATTTATTTCAGCAGGGAAGATTGGGACTGAGCTAACATTAGCCACAAAGCCTCCTCTTTTTGCTGAGGAAGAGTGGTCCTGAGCTAACATCCATACCCACCTTCCTCTACTTTATATGTGGGATGCCTGCCACAGCATGGCTTGATGAGTGGTGTTTAGGTCCACGCCCAGGATCCAAACCAGCGAACCCCGGGCTGCCAAAGCGGAGCGTGTGAACGTGACCTCCATGCCAATGGCTGGCTCCTGGTGTCAACATTTTTCGTTCTCAGCATTTGACATACGAATGGTTTGAATAACTTTTGTAGAATTAAATAATAAAATAAATATAAACTCTTTCTAGTTACTTCTCAAAGCTCAGGTCCCACACAAAAGCACCAGGCATCCAGCATAAGCAATAAGGAGGCCCCAGCGGCAGCCCGCAGCGTCACAGACGTACCTCTTGCTGTGGGACGGAGGTGGAGCAGTTGGTCAAGAGAAAGCCTTCCAGTCACACCCATTCATTCACTGTAATTTTCTAGCATTTATCTTGCATGCACTTGGGATATTTTCCAAGGCCAGTGCCGCACATGTGATAGCCGATAAAACCCAATAGAAATTAATAACTAAGGAATAAGCTTCTATTGGGTTTTGGAGAGCCAAAAACTATTGTAAGATCTAAGATTCCTCTCCAGCACTCGGTTTTCCCCCCTTGCAGATGATATTGTTCTCATTATGAATGCGTACCTCGTTCCATGTGATGCTCTCAGATACTTTTGTTTCTATTGTTTCTCTTTTTTAAATGTTAATCTCAATCTCTTGTGAATTGTGACCCACAATTTAGTTTTAAAAACTACCAGCATGATAACGTATATATGATAAATAATAGCTATGCTACAAAACCATTGCCTTTGTTAAAAGTTGAGGAGCAGCCACCACAATGGCCAAAATTAAAAAGACTGACAAAAACCAAGTGTTAGAGGGAATGCGGTGCAGGTGGGAACTCTCATGGATCACTGATGGGAATGTAAAATGGTGCAATCACTTGGCAAAACATTTTGGCAGATTCTGTGAACTTAAATATACACATACAGTGTGATCTATAACTTCCCCTCCTAGGTATTTACCCAAGAGAAATAAAAACATATTTTCTCAGAGTAACTTGTACACAAATGTTCATATAAGCTTTACTAGCCAATAACTGGAAACAACTCAAATTTCCATCCAAAGTGAATGGATAAACAAATTGTAATAGATCCATACAGTAGAACACTACTGGGCAATGTAGAAAGAATGAAGTCTTGATGCACACAACATGAATGGATCTCAAAAGCGTTTAGCTTAGTGAAAGGAGCTAGACTAAAAAGAATACATGTTATACAATTCAATTTACATGAAACCCTAGAAAAGCAATTCCATAGTTGCCTGAAGAT